CTCAAAACAACTAATGGAGAAATTACTAGAACAGTAAGAAAATTTGCCACCTGAAGTTGTAACATCAATAACACAAAGCGAAGACATCATTTACACTAGAAAATTAATGCACAACTAAATTAACTAAATACCAAATGCCAAGGTATAAAGTTTTTAAAAGTCTGAAAATTCATGAGAAAATATATAGAGAGAATTCCTCAAAGACACAAGAATAGATCTGAACAAGTGAAAAGGAATGCAACATCCTCATACAAAGTTAACATCATTAAGATGCCAACCCTTCTTAAGGAAGTTTATAAGCTTGGTTATTCCAATAAAAATCATAAATCATATTAGATTTTTGGTTTGTTCTGAAACTAGCCAAATTGATCATACATTTAATTTGGAATAGAAAATGAGCAAGAATAATTAAGAAAATCCAGAAAAGAGGAGAAATGGTTTGGAGTAATGAGTAAGATACAGTTACCTGATGTTAAAACAGAAAGCCTCTATACTTAAAACAGTGTAGTTTTGTAATATAAATCAATGAAAAAAACCAACGGGACTAAAAAGAAAAATTCAGAATCTGATTCAATGGCTTATTATAATTTTGTGTATGATAAAAGTGATATTGGAAATTTATAATCAGTGATGCTGGGTTTATAGGACAGCCACAGATAAATTTTTGAACTGGGTTTACTTTTCAAATACCAGGTGTATTTATGACATATATTAGGATATATTATAAATGGATGAGAGATTTAAGTATAAAAATATAAAATTATATAAATAACCTTGGATGATTTCCTCTATCATCTGAGAAGTGGAAACTATGACTCAGAATACATATACAGAAAGAAAAAGAGTGATCATTTTTAACATCTACATATGGCCAGATCCACTGTAAACAATGGACATAAACACTTGACAGACCGGGGGACGAGGGAAACTGCAGCTTATATCATAGATAAATATAGCCCTAACCTATGGAATCTTCAGTATAAAACTGAAGAATAAAAAGGACAGTAAGCTACTAGAAAATGAGCAAAATAGATGAACGAAGTTCACCAAAACAAAAGTAAATGTTCCTCAAACATACCAAAAGATGTTACTGTGCTGTTAGTAATTGAATATAAATTAATTATACCCTGAGATATGATTTCTCACTGGCAAAACCCAAGAAATTGACACTTTACTTTGCTGGAATCCTGCTGTGCTGGTAGAAAATATAGAATGGAATAACCACTTTGGAAAAAAAATTTGACAATAGTTAGAAGAACTACACATGCATTCATTTCTGAAAGGAAACTTCACTTTCAGTGATGTACAGTAGCATTCATATTAGTTCATCATTTCTTTGTACAGTATGGTAGTACTACATGTATATGGATTACCTTACTTTACTCAACTGTTCCCTTATCATTTGATATATGGCTTGCATATAGTTTGTTGGTATTCGTATAACAGGTAATATTGCAATGAATACTTTTGCCTAAATATTTTCCAGTGTGTCTTTGAGATAGAGAACAAGAACTTGTACAAGCAAACCCAAATTTGCAGTATCTGTTATAACCTAATCTCAAAAGTAACATACAAGTCCCATCATTTTAGTGTACAGTATTCCATTGGTCACATAGATTAATCCTCAATAAAATCTGTGAGTTTAGGGAAAGACTACATAAGGTCATGAAACCAGGAAGCAGGGATCACTGAATCTAACTTAGAATATAGCTTTGTATTAATTGGCAGTTAAACCAACTAAAACTATTGTGAATTAATTTAAAACATAAGGACTTCATTCCATGTCCCTAACAGGATATGTATTCTAAAGAAAATGCTTTTGACATTGTTTTCAATAACCATTATATCAATACTGTGTTTATGTGTGTGTATGGAGAGAGAGAAAAAAAACAAATGAGATATTATCTTGGTAGGTAAGATTTTGGTATACAAGAAATGAAATATAAATGTAATATTGATGGTACTACATAAAATCCCTATAATGCTACATTTTCATCGGAAATATCAGTATGAATTCTTTTAAAGCTATATTTCCTACCTCTGTCTACTGAAAAATCTTAGAAACAATGACAGATCCATAACACGGAGCACCCAAGCAGCTGCATTGTGTTCAGTAAAATTCAGAAGGCTGAATTACCCCTGATATGTGTACTTTGCTGTCAGTAATGAAGATGTTAGGACCTTGTCCTTAATGTGTTGTATTATGTGAATTAACGGCATAACTAGTACTCAAACAGTACTTTATACTTTTTGTTTCTGTGTGGATGCAAACTGTTGAAATCTTTACTTAATATATACTAAATTGATCTTCTGTATATAAAGAAAATTGAAAATGAATCTTGATGTGAATGGGATGGGAGAGGGGGTGGGAGATGGGAGGGGTGCAGGTGGGAGGGAGGTTAGGGGGGGGAAAAGCGGCTATAATCCAAAAGTTTTACTTTGGAAATTTATATTTATTAAATAAAAGTTATAAAAAAAGAATTCACAAGAACTGTACTAAGAAAATACTCAGGACCTAACTCAGAGAGGTTTCTGCTGATCAAAAGTGAGACAGTTTGGAGGCAGGTGCTGTAGCATAGCGGGTCAAGCAGATTCTCGGGACATCTGCATCCACATTGAAGCACTGATATGAGTCCAGGCTGCTCCACTTCCACTCTGGTTCTTACTGACGCATGCCCTGGATGCTTCATGCTGTCACAGCAGGTGATGGACTCATTCTTAGGTCACTGGAGAGACTTAGAAGGAGCTCCTTGCTTGTGGTGTGGGCCTGGCCCAGCCCTGTCTGTTGGAGATCTCTGGAAAATGAACCAGTTGATGGAAGATCTCTGTTCTCTCTGTGTGTCACTCTACCTTTCAAGTAAGTAAATAAATATTTTCAAAGACCCAATAGCCTGAAGTGATTTATATCAGTAGAGAGAGAAAACTAAAGCCCGGCAGGCGGCTGCTTTGAGCCACTGCAACAAGAGCTCCCTACCACTTGTGACTCTTTCTCTGTTCAGCCAGCATTTGCAGCACTGTATCTGATGGTGGGTGTCAACAGCATATAAAAGAGTCCTGGCGCAAATGGAAATCGTATTATGCAAAGGAGAAACACAAACAACAAACACACACAAATAGAACAGATAAATACAGAAAATAGTTTTATAAATAATAAATATTTTAAATACAGGACATCCATTTTTCTCAGCATTTAGAGATCATAAAGTGTTTTCTACTTTCCATAGATGATGGTGGTGAAACAGCAGATAGAAGACCGCTCCCTCTCTCTCTGCCTCTGCATCTCTGTAACTTTGCCTTTCAAATAAATCTTTAAATTTTTTTAATTATAAAAAGTTGAATGACATAAGAAAATCTTCCATATGGTGCCTTATACAAAGTATGTGTCATATAAATAACTCTTGTTATTTTTTGCTCACTCTAGAACTCTGTGTCATTCTTGCCTACTCTGCATATTCTAGACAGTGTCTTGATTTTTCATTAGAATGTCATGACTACAAAGCGTCCATAGGTTGCAGTGCATACTGATAAGACAGTCACCATGACTATCAATTGAGTACAGACATTAAGTCTCAGAGAATCATTCTGGTTCTATCTCCTTTCAGTTTCCTGATATTAAAAAAAAAATCTTGACTCATTAGCCAAGGTTTTGTTTTAATGGAGTGTAATAGGGTGACAGACATGGCAGCCACTGCCTTTGAAAGAAGAGTTAATTACATTTCCCAAGAGAACAGGACATGTCACACTATGCAGGGTCACATGGGAAGCAGAAGAGGGGAGTAATGAGAGAAACACCAAAGCCACAGCTTTTTGTGGAGCTTCTGTGGGAAAGGCAAGATTAAACAGACAGGCTTTGGGCATAGGTGCTGACCCTGGTTGTCTGGAACCCAGTCCTGGGTTGGTTCAGGCAGAGGAAATATTGACTTAGTGTATGAGAGTTAGACAAAGAAATGTTTGGGGATTTGTACTCAGATTTGTTGTATTGTATATGAAAGGTATGATTGCAGGCAAAATATTGACTGTCTCTAGGAATGAGTTCGTTCTAGGAGGGGTAGTGTCCCCCAGCACCCAAGGGAGTCCCCCTTCCAAGATGGCAAACCATCACGAAATACAAAAAGCTTTTAAAAACTAAATGTCAAATACACCATACTCTATGGTGTGCAGGAATGAGATTTTATCATTGACCCTAATTCCAGCATTCATTCTACTGTACCCTTTAACAATATTGCCCTGAGAGTACAATACTGTGGGTTTCCCATCCCTTCTGCTACATTCTAATGATCATCTTTGCTGCCCTTCCTGGGCATGCGAACTCAAGCAGTCTAGGGATACAGCTATCACTAACAAGAACTCCTTCATTTGCTTACATTTTATGGCCTACCTACCTTTTTATGTTGCAGACACCTTTTCTTGCACAAATGAGACAGTGTCTAATTGTTAATACATGTGTTAAACTTGTGTGAACCGTATAATGCTGAAACTGGTGTTGAAGCAAGCTTTCTTACAAGGACCGAATTTCATTTAGAACTAGGAATGTCTTTAAAGAAATTGGTTGGCTTGGCCGGTGGCGCCGTGGCTCAATAGGCTAATCCTCCGCCTTGTGGCGCCGGCACACGGGGTTCTAGTCCCAGTCGGGGCGCCAGATTCTGTCCTGGTTGCCCCTCTTCCAGGCCAGCTCTCTGCTGTGGCCAGGGAGTGCAGTGGAGGATGGCCCAAGTGCTTGGGCCCTGCACCCGCATGGGAGACCAGGAGAAGCACCTGGCCCCTGCCATCGGATCAGCTCGATGCACTGGCCACAGCAAGCTGGCCGCGGAGGCCATTGGAGGGTGAACCAATGGCAAAAGGAAGACCTTTCTCTCTGTTTCTCTCTCTCTCTCTCACTGTCCACTCTGCCTGTCAAAAAGAAAAAAAGAAATTGGTTGGCTTGCTCATATTCTCCCTTCTTTCTCCTTTCTCCCTTCCTTCCCCTCTTCTGCTACGTGCTTCTGTTTTGTTTCTTTAAGGTTCCCAGTTGGGAAAATGTCCATTGCAGCTCCGTGCCAACTGGAGACCAGTCTCTATCCTATGTGCATGGCCTCCCCAGGAGAAAGCTTAAAGACTTGTCCTTGGAACAGATGGCAGTAGCTGGCTCTAACCAATCTGAGGTGTGTATACTAATAGTTGCTAAGTTGTTTTCTATTACGGATAAATGGTACTGTCTGTTGACTGGACATTTTGATGCAGAGCAGTTGAAAAGGCAGTTTGAGGATGGCAGCAAGGACACCAGAATCCAGATGTCCAGTCAGCTTTCCAGGAAGCATCCTTGGGGAGATAGCCAGCAAAATCTAAATACCTCAACTGAAGTCCTCATCTTCCTCCTGCCTTCCTTCTTTTCAAAATTTCCTAAGCATGGGAGGGGCCACTACATTCCCAGTTAACTCTGTCAGGATCTAATATTGTCCTTCATCTCTACCCCAGCACCAAACTCCCAGATTCAATGTGTCTCTAAGATGTGCTATTATTCTAAATTCTTGCACAAATAGGCACTCCATGAAAGACAGCCAATGGACTTGAAAGAGCCTTCTAACAAGGTACGTATTTTGGAAAGATTGGCTTCTTTTCTTCTCCTGAAGGAGCAGATTGGAAGCATGCTAACCCCTTGAATAGACCCAGATTGAGCATCTGCCTGAGCCACCTTGTACTGAAAGTGGATGCCCTGATGGCATCTGCTTCCTTGTGTGGACCTTTAGCATCTTGTTTTACATCCATGCTGCTTTTTCTTTGTTCCCCGCATTGTTACATTAGGAAATTGGCCAGAAGCCAAGTGGAATCTCAAAAGAAGACACATTTCTTCTTGCCATGCTCAGAAGAGAACTCAAGTCACACCGTTTGAGCGCCAGCTACTTAGATAAACTTCAGAAGGAGTTGGAGACCCTGGACCCCACCTCTTCAGGGTTTCTTCTCCAGTCTCAGCTGAGCTGCCTATTCCTGAGGCATGAAGTCCCTCTGCAGTTACCAACAGTCAAGATTCTTTGCCAGAGATTTTCTAGAAGGGGCTCCCATGAAATGGTAGGGCCATGTTCTATTTTAAGCGTGAATTCTTTCTGTTGCTTTTGCTGGTCCCCACCATGGTAATGGGATTAAGAGGTTAGTTTCTTTCTTGAAAATGACTTGGACTAAGATGAAAAAGCTTATTTATACTACTAGGTGGAAAATTAGAATAGACTAGAAGAGAAAATAAATGTGGTCTCTCAGCTTTGTTTAATTGTTCTATAAAGTGTGTTCCTGGGGGCCCGCATTGTGGTGTAGTGGGTTAAGCTGCCACTTGTGGCACCAGCATCCCATATGGGCACCAGTTCTCATCCCAGCAGCTCCACTTCTGATCCAGCTCCCTGCTAATGCACATAGGAAAGCAGCAGAAGATGGCCCAAGTGCTTGGGCTCCTATACCCATGTGGGAGCTCCAACCACTGTAGCCATTTGGGGAGTGACCAGCAAATGGAAGACCTCTCTCTGTAACTCTACCTATCAAATTTTATCATTGGCTCTCGACACTGAGGATAGTTACAGATTCAAAATAGGGACCCATTTGATTCCACTCATAAATCAACTCAATCTGCAAGTCCCAAGGAAAGAATAGAGAACTTCACTATGATGTCCTATTTTGGGGACAGTTTCTTAAAGAATTGGATGTGGGAAGTACCTTTGAAATACAATCTACCATTGCCATTTTACTGTTTAGGAACCTGAGACCCAGAGGTTGTCACGAACTCAGCACACCCAAGGTATTAACGGCAGATGCAAGGCTGGGACACAGGTTCTCCTATAGGTTCTTTAGACTTAGTGTTTTCCAAACTCATACTTGTGACTGAATATATTATGGTCCAACTACAACAAAAATCAAGGAGCCAGAGGAAAATAGTCTTAAATAGGAAGAAATAAAAGCAGTAAGCAAATAATCAGTGAGTGTGTATCAGCAGCAAGGCAATAAATGGAACGATTCTTTAAAAAATGGTCTGGACATCAAATATTTTTAACTTGTCAGAGGCAGAAAGAGAGCTATCATCCACAAGTTCACTTGTCAAATGTCTGCAATGACTGTGGCTGGACTGGGACAAATCCAGTAGCCAAAAATCAAGTCCAGGTCTCCTATGTGGTTGGAACACAGTTAATTCAGCCACTACCTGATGCCCCTCAGGTTGTGCATTATCAGGAAGCTGGAATCAGGAGCCAGAACCGGGGATCAAAGCCAGACGTGGAAATCTTATCCAGTGTATTAACCACCAAGCTATCTACTTGTCCTGTCCTGGGCTTTAATCCTAATTCCAGCATTGTTAGCTCTGTGACAAGGGGCACATTCTACTTCATTTTCTGATACCTCAGTGTCTATAAAACAAGTCAACACCAACCTCATAGATAAATTCTTGTGATTTAGTAATGAGATAAATTCAAATTACAAGACTGGTGTCCAAGGTTTACCTGATGCTAAAATGTATATTTTCTCTTCTGCCATAATGGAGTTAGTTGTATATTTATGAGAAGTATTTAGCAGTACAATGTTAGTTTATTTGTACAACCTGTATGAATCATCAGTCACTCATATTTTCTGGCAGAGACCTAGTTTATATCCAGGACCCTATGTAGCTTCCCTCCCTTGTTGTTGTCCCCTCTCCCACCCCAGAGTTGTTGGCCCAACAGAGACCCTAGGGTGCCATCCAGTCCTGTAATGAAAATTTGTGATGGTCCTTCAGTCCTCTCTTACGTAAAAAAAAAAAATGGTCTTGAGATTTTTCACCTAATCTAATAAATTATTGGCCCCTGAAAAACTGAACATATCTGTAGAACACATTTAAATATAAGAATATATTCTGTATCATAAATATGTTAGAGATGAGAGAGTGAGGGAAGAGAGGGGTTAGAGACTAGGTTATGCAATAGTAGCAAATAGCCCAAAGTCACAGTGGCTTGAACAACAGAAGCTGATTTTTCATTTACATTACATCTCCATAATGCGTCCACAACAGGCCCTTCTCAGAACTGCCATTATCTTAGCCCCAGGACACAGGCTGATGAAACAGCCACTCTAGAATACTTCTGATAGGAAGGCAGAGGGTAAAACGGGAGCTCTGGAGGGTCTCCTGTCAGTAGTTTCATCCTCCACCCAGAAGTAGCACACATCACTTCTGCTCACAGTTCATTCGCTCAGACTAGTCACATGCCCCGCCCCAACCCAAAGGCAACCAGAAAGTACACTGTTCCCACTTGTCCAAACGAGAGAATAATAGAAATAGTTAGTATGAAGCACTAATAATTATGATACTGTGTTTTTAAGATGGGGTTTTAAAAACTTTTTTTTTAACTTTTATTTAATGAATATAAATTTCCGAAGTACGGCTTATGGATTACAATGGCTTCCCCCCCATAACGTCCCTCCCACCCGCAACCCTCCCCTTTCCCACTCCCTCTCCCCTTCCATTCTCATGAGGATTCATTTTCGATTCTCTTTATATACAGAAGATCAGTTTAGCATACATTAAGTAAAGATTTCAAAAAAAAAAAAAAACAAGCATCTTTCCCTTACATGTAAATTAAGTGAAGCTGCTCTATTTTTCAACTTCCAGGTGAATTATGGAAAACTACTCTGGTTTTTAAAAGATGCAGTTTCCGGTGGTCCACCAGCGAATCAAGTGGATGCAGACAACCACAGGTGGACAACTCTGAGCCACAGCAAACACGAGCAAAGGTACTTTTCTCTCTTTGGATGAGCATGTGGTTCCTAAAGGTCCTAGTCACACACCACAGACTGCAGCCAAAATTTATTTTTCATAGTTCTGGAGGTTGAAAGTAAAAGGTCTGGTGAGGGCCCTTCCAGGCTGTAGAAGATACATTTTCTCCTTGAGTCCTCACATAGCAGAAAGAGAGCTAGCTAGCGCTCTGTATTTTGCCTTTAACGGCACTAATCCCACTCCTGAGGAATCTACACTCATGACCTAATTACCTCCCACACCCCATCTCCGAATATCATCACACTGAGAGGAGGGTTTTGACATATGAAGCTCAATGAACATTCAGTTCTAGACTCCTAGATCTGGCAGAGATCACACAGGCATTCACTCTAAAGCCTCACCCAGCACAGAATCACTGCTCTTCACCAGCACTTGGCTCAGGTTTTTAGTTTTCTTTCTTTCTCTTTTGTACACAGGCCAGCATGCAAAGTTATTTGCAGCCATTGCATATGTTTCTTAACATCAAGCATGTGTTTTTTTTTTATGAGGTTGCCATGTGAAAATGAAAACCTCATTATGGAACAAGAAATGATTGTGTATACGGGTACAGAGCTCATCTACAAAATGTGATTCCAGAAATATGTTCAGTGCATGAACTCGTGGATTACAAATACTAGCAAAGAAAGGTTTGAGATACAGGAATCACTAATCTCTTCACATAATCTTAAGACTAAGAAATGACTCAAAGTAACAATAAGATGTGATGAATATCATTAAATATGAAGCAACGTGAACTATGATATTCTCCTTGTTCACCAACTGACAAAGTGTGATACTTAGGAGGCTAGCCTCTGACAGAAGGCTGGACTCAACTCATGTCTCTTCCTTGTAGTGGCTCTGTGACATCAGTATTCACTTAATCTCTCTGTTCTTTCATTCTTCAGTTGTAAAATTGGGATGAGAATAGATTTCATCATATTGATATGTAAGATTAACTGAGTTAATAGATGCTAAGTACCTGGTGCCTAGTAAGTGCTGTATAAATATTGTTATACTTCTAAGCTATCTCTCAGAGAAGTCTCTCTCCAGTTTCTATCATGTGATACAGTGGCTAAGAGCCATGTCATTGGAGGGAATTACTTCACTTTATAAACATAGTTGGGAACATGTCCCTCAGCTAAGTGTTAGACTTGAGTCCCTTCTGCAGTGTGGCTCTTGTAGCACTGATACTTCATACAGCAAACATCCTTTTAATGCCATCTGCTCTACAGCCCCACTTACTGTACAAAAGGAATTCCAAGGTTAGCAAGGCTCAGTCTTTCTTGAGTGCTCGTAGTCCAAAGAAAACAATATTGCCATGCGGATATTATAGCCGAATATCACCCTGGAAGGAACTATCCTCCTGAGAGCAATAAAGCCCTAGAAATGCTTAATAATGAGGAACCATTCCTCATATAATACAGATTGTGAAATGCTTGCCAGGAAAGGTGATAGAGCATGTAGCAGAATACCCAGCCACTCATTGGCAGATGTGGGTCCTAGGAACTCTACACAGGAGACCTTCCCTGACCCCTGGATAAGGTTATGACTCCTGGTTATACAGTCCAATAGTCTTTTTTCCTTCATAGTAATCATTGCATTTTAACTTATTTATTTGACATTTAAGATTAGACATGTAGGCGTCTGACCAACTGTCTAGCATGGTTCTCACACAGGCCTGTGGGAGATGCTTGATACATATTTGATGAATACAATTGACACCTACAGTTAATTAAAGATCTTACATCACTTCACTTCCGGGGACACCTGGATACCTTCTCTATAAAAAAGAGCAATGTATGAGGAGATCATTTTGAGCTCATTAGAGAAAATGCTGTTTTCTATAATCTAGAGAGTGTGTTTGTAGGAATATGGGACTGATGGCTTGTAATGAGCCAGGCTCTTTGTTAATCAATCTTCAGCCCAGGGAAATACCCTCATCATGGTCTAGTAGCTAGGGCCTCTAACAGGGTAGCTATGTGATGTTTTAAAAGGTTTCTGAATTGCCAGTGTTAGCAGAGGTAGTAGCAGGGGTGGCAGCAGCTCTCTTCTCCTAAATTGAACCAGATGAAAGAAACTCCTGCACCAGGCTTTCTAAGGAACCCCACCAGCTGCAGTAAATAGATTCCATACAACACCTGCCCATTCCTTACTCAGTATACTGAACCAGGGGCCAAAACCTCAGGAATTCCTACCCCCAAGCTCTGGTGTTCTAAGAAAAGAGGAAGAAAAACTTCTGCTTTGAATCTGGGACAGAGATAATTGATTGGCAGAGTCAGGGTCATGGGCCCTAGCTATGAAGAGAGCCTGGTAAAGCAAGCAGTGGGCACTCTGCTCTGCTAGAGAGAGCAGACTCTGTCTTGGGTGTTGGGACTCCCTGAGCAAGAGTAGCAGATGGCTGGCGCCATGGCTCACTAAGCTAATCCTCCTCCTGCAGCGCCGGTACCCCGGGTTCCAGTCCCGGTTTTGGGGGTGAACCAACGAAGGAAGACCTTTCTGTCTCTCTCTCTCACTGTCTAACTCTGCCTGTCAAAAAAAAAAAAAAAAAAAAAGAGTAGCAGGTACAGAATATGCTGACCAAAGGAAAGACATATACACACTATTCCTTCCCTGAACTGTTGGAAAATATTACAAATAAGTAATTCAGAATAGTATAAGTAATTCAGAATAGTATAATCTTAGGCTAAAGCTTATGTATGAGTTACAGAAAAAATACAATATGACCTTTACAATAAGCTATATACATCTAAAACTAATTGTTTCTAGGTACTATACAATAGCCCTGGGAAATAGTAATGGATAAAACAGTCTTGACCCCATGGAGTGATCTATCAGGGGAGTCAGATTTGAAATAGTATCTAAAGAACCACAGATGTGATTGCAATTTGAGGGAGTCTAATAAGGAGGAGAACAAGGTGCTATGAAACAGTGTGTGTCTACCAGGGCTGTGCTGGAGCAGGGCACGAAAGTTGATTATGCACAGTCTCCTTCCAACTCCTCATTCTCAGAGGAAATCAGCCATGGTGGGAATATTTACACTATGGAAACTGGTAATGCCACAAATTAAGGCTTTTCTTGAGAGTTGGCTGCTAAAGATTTCCAGATCACCATGGAAAGGAAACTGGTTTACATGTACAAGGGTGGGGTTTGGGGGATATAGACTGTCCCTCAGGGAATGTGGCATTTAAGTGGAGATGCTGGAACTCAGGAAGAGCTTCCACACGGAGCCGATAGTCTAACTGTACTTGGGGGGATCAATAGATCTGAATGTTAAATGATAAACATCTCAAACTAGTTTCATCAAATTAAAACAACTGACTATGATACTATATCACCCTGTTGTTTTTCACCTATTACTCAAAGTAAAAAGTTGGATAAACCCGCTTAATAATCACATAGAGTTTCATGCCAAACTGTAAGTAAAGCATTATAGAATTTCCCAGATATGAAGACCAAAGTCCATGATAATGCATAAAGTTCATCTGATTTAGGATGTCCTCCTATACATGTTCCCTAGTTGCAGGGATCAGGCAGGAGTTACTTGCTTTGTTTGGTTTGTTCTGTTTTGCTTTGCTCATGGCCATGGATAGTTTGGAGATTTTTGCATCAATGATTTTCTGAGTTTAAGAAAAGTAATTCAGGCAAGTAAACAATTACGATCACTTATTTTTTTTCTCCACCTGGAAAAAAGGAGCTAGAAAGGTGGCTTAAGGATGTTGGCCTATGTCATGTTCAAATTGGTTGGTGCCTCCTGGAGAGGAAAGTGTAGAGCTCATTCAAGTGGGACATATTTGAGCTAATCAATCAAACATCCACATGCAACCACAAGACCGAGTGATCAAGGTAGAAGGCCTCCAAAGTGGGTTCTGTGACTCCACAGTGTCTACAGTTGACAGACGCGGCCTGAAAGCCTGCAGCTGCTTTGAGTGGACAATCTTTTCTTAGCTCTTGCTCTCCGCTTCCCACCAGTCCTCCACCTCAAGACTCCAGCTCACAGGCAGAGGTGAACCAGGACCTGGTGGAGATTTTGAAGATGGCACTAAGGACAGCCAATGGTAAACTCAACATGGAGAACCTCAGTCTGAGTTTTCGAAAAGAAGATCACTCCTTCTCTGGCTGCCTACCCCCACCCAAGGTAACCAAAATCAGATCACAGATTTGTTCACCTTTATAATGTTACTTCAGCATGTTGGGCCTAGAGTGATTGGGCACAATGATAACCGGGATTCTGCCTTGGATCACTTTACACAACTGTTTGCTTTCTGTGTCCAAGAGAAGAAAAACAAAATGGAAAAGGAATTATTTAATATTCAGAGTTGGTCCAAAACGATTTAGATTGGTCTATGCTTTATGTTAATAATAGAATATATGACAATACACAAATAGTATTTCACAATGGAAAGCAAGCATTTTTCCAAGGCCAAATGTTCATTTTTCAAGCCCTCTCTCAGCTTCTAGTGAAGTCAGCATGGGGTGTCTTATTCCTTAGGAACACAAAATTTTAGGAGCTGATGTAATTTATTGCTGACAGAGGTTAGCATGCTGTTTTTAGCAGTAATTAACAGCACAGATGCATTTTATGGAAGATGATCCAGAAAACATATTAACTCATCGATCTTCTGTAGCTAAACAAACACCAATCACAATGCCACCTTGGATGCTGGTAAAATAATAATTACCACTGAGTTTTCAGTGGTAAGGACTATGCTAAATGCTTTACTTACATGATCTCATTTACCCATTGTGACCAATCATCTGATCTATAAGACATCTATAAAAGCTTACATTGAGAAATAAATACACCACTAAGGTAACTTCACACCTGTGTGTGCAGGAGAGTCCATATGTCATTAGCGGCCTTTACCATGGTCATGAGAAGATCTAAGTCTAAGAAGTACAATGGTTTGCTAGATTAGAAACCACAGACAGCACAGGAGATGTTCAGACAGGAGATGTTTCAATTTTCTCAGATGATACAGAATGGATTAGAAATACATTTATTGAATCTTTTTGAGGATCAGATTTCACCTGGAAAAACTGGATTCCAAATATCTACCTGCCAAATATCTATCTATCTTTGGTGAGGATGAAATGAAATAAATATGTGAAGATGCCTAGCATATTATCTGACATACAAGGTCCTCGTTAATTATTAGTTTCCTTTCTTTTTAATAATAAATAAAAAGTTTGGTGAGAATCTCACTTCAAAACAGCCTAAAGAAAGGGTATCTTTCCCATGGTCAAGGGATGGCCTTATATAACATTGGCTATTAGGGAAGATTTCAAGTGCTCTTTATCCCCACAGCTGGCCCAGAAGGCTTGACTTTGAGATCCAGATTCAAGGAAATAGGGCACATTTTCCTTGAAGCTGATCTACCTTTTTAGAGCCATTTGGCATCTCTTAAGACATCTGGAACTCACTCAAAGTATATCACAGTTCTGGGAAGCATATAAAATAGAATTCTGTTTCCCTAGAATGTGAGACAAATTGAGACCCAAGGGACATTGGCTACAGGAAGCAACAACAGACTTGCCCCCATCTTCCTTGCTTCTGGACACAGAACTTCAGAGTAGACTGGGAAAGGCCATGTCTGAATTAGAGGGTTTTTGTTGTTGTTGTTTGGGGGGTGGGGGGATGGAGGTGATGGCCGAAAGGGGTGTGGCCCATTAGTTCCCTAGTTTCCCTCAAGTGCAGGAAAGTGCAAGCTTAGTTTACCCCCATTATACACAACCCATAATCTTTACACCTTCAACTCAGCCTCTTTCTACTTCATATCACAAACTCCTCCAAACTGCTCCCACACTTTCCTCTCAGGAAGAGTTTGGCTAAAACACAAATTGCACTACCTCTGATTATTCTTTGCTTTATTTTCCTACAATTTCCTCCTTATCATCAGAAGGGAGTCCTGTTACTGAGCTAACCAGCATTTGTGAATATGGAGCTCATTCTTGTGGCAAGACTCCAGCTAAGACACTAGTTTGCCTAGTGAACCAGGAATGAAAGACCTTCTTCTGCAGCTTTCTAGGCACCTTTTCCACATTTATTTGTTTCTGTATCTGTACACTCTACCTTCAAACTATAAAAGGATTCCTACTAAGTTTGACTCATTCCATACCTGCAATGCATTAGCATCTTTCTAATCAATATGGTATGTTTAATCTATTCTGACAGTCAACCTAATAATTGTTGGTGTGTTCTAGTCATCGTGATGGGCACTGATGACTACATGCTTTTATTATTTCATTCCTGAGTTCTCCAGGAACTTTGAACACAGAGCAGTGACACCAAAATAGCCTAGTATGAATAATCTCCAGAGGAGATGGTGCAAATGCTGAATCATAGAGGACAAGCAATTTCGGCAACAAATAATGGTGTTGGGGGTGGAGAGGGAACAAGGGCAGTAAAAGATATAGAAAAGTTGTTGCAGGTAAATAAAGCAATGTGAAACAACATTGATATTAAAATATCATGACTAAATCAAGAAACTGCTGGTAAGTTCCTCCTCAAGTTGACTTTAGAATGGAAAATAAGAGGGGCCGGTGCTGTGACTCAGTGGGTTCAACCGCAGTGTGGAGTCAGCATCCCGTGTGGGCACTAGTTCAAGTTCCACCTGCTCCATTTCCAATCCAGCTCCCTACTAATGGCCTGGGAAATCAGAAGAGAATGGCCCAATGTTTGAGTCATTGTACCCAAGAAGGGGACATGGTTCATGTCCCAACCCTGGTTCAGCCTGACCCAGCCCCAGTCATTGAGGCCGTTTGGGGGGTGAACCAGTGGATGCAATATCTCTTTGTCTCTCTCTTTCTCTGTCTCTCCCTCTCTCTGTGTAATTTCTGACTTATAAATAAATAAATCTTCTATAAAATGGAAAATATAGACCTTTTAATGAAGAGTCCTTATAAAGAATGTGAATTTTATTCTGAGATTTGAGTAAGAATATTAAATAAGTGAAACACATGATTACACTTGAAATTTGAAAACAAGGAACATTCTAAAAGAATTTGAAGAATTAGTTAGAAACTTATAAAACTGAGGACAGAGAGAACCTTAGAAACCTATTCCAACAATCAAAACAGGAAATTATGAGGATTTAAACCAAGGTACTGACAGGGGCGATGGAGACATTAAGGGAGTAGCAAAGCAAGTCTGGAGATTAATTTGATGTGGGCCCTGAATTAAAAGAAATAAAGAATGAATTTCAATCCAGGTTCTGGCTTTGGCAACTTTTTGAATAGTGACGCCATTCTATGCCGTGGGAATCCATAAAGGAGCGATTAGGATGGGTAGAACAAGGGTTGATGAGTTTCATTTTGAACATGTTGATCTATGAGGAGAGATTAGAGCTGAATGAATATTGAAATAAGACTCTTCAGCATAGCATAGGAGTAGTGAAGATTACCCAAGGACATAACAGAAAGTGGTAAGAGAATAAGATTGAGGAGGGCACTCATTGGTAAAGGTAAACAGGTGACAAAAATCCAACTAAGGGAGCTAAAAATAATCAAAGAAAATGCTGGAGTTGTAAAGAAAGCCAAAAGGGGAATTTGGAGACACAAATCATGATCAGCCCTGTTGCATGCTGCACAGAGACCAGCTAGAGTTACGGCTGAAAAATATTCAACAATTCTAAAAGCAGGGTAGTTCCTAGTAGCTTTGGTAAACAAAGTTAAGAAGAGTAATGGCAGAAAATGTGAAGCTGTATTTAATTAGAGAAGAAATAATGACAGTGTGTGTTGCTCTTTCAAGGAGCATTATGAGGAAGGAAGTGTCCACTTCAATGTCATTTTTTAAATAATGTTGATATTTACTTTTGATTGGAAATATTTCTTTAGTAACCAAGAAAATTAGGCATTTTCTTCTAGGAGTCATCATTATAAATACCCAGGCTTTAAAAGATTTTAATAATGATGCTGAATGATACTAACTTATGAGGCTTTTTTGTAGATGCTTCTATTGCTCCTCTAGAACTGTCAGCAGTGAGTTCTTAGCAGCTGTCAGTCAACTTGCTTCTAGGAACCCAGATGTACTTTTTCTAATCTGCAGCTCATTCTAGCCTAGAGCAAACTAACTCTTGCCAGAAGTAAGTGATCTGTTTTTAGAATACCCTCTCAATATTGATGTTTAAAAATACATCAATTTGCTCTCCTCATGAAAATAATCCAGTTCTTTCTGGAGTAAAATGGCGTAATGTGACCAATTTCTACCTCTCTACCTTCGTTTTTTACTTCCTTCCACCTACTCTCCACCCCTCAGTGGCAATTAACTCATTCATTCACTCCTTTACTCATACATCTACTCATTTATTCAACAATTATTGATCCTTTCATTTTAATACTGAGGTAGGCAATGGTGATAAGAAAATGAATGAAACACAGTTACAGCCCAGAGTAAGCTGCTGTCTTAAAGAAAACTCAAGTAATAGATCATTACTGCCCTACTGGAAAAGCAGCCTAAAATGATAGTGAAGTGGATACTATTATTTCTAAAAACTACGCAACCCTCTCACATATTATTTACAAAAGTTTTTACTCTACTAGAATTTCCCCAATTCATTATTCTTCTGGGAAACTCATATTATCATTTTTCAATTCACTCTTTTTTCCCTCTTAAGTTTCCCTTGCAAAACTCCTCTACACCTAGCAAGTAATGTATGCAAGTTTCAAACCCAGATTTGTTGTTGTTCAGTTGGTGACACATACAGATCAAGAAACAATTGCCATTGAAATGATAGTATGTTTCTCATAATTACTAGAAGGGATCTTGATACACCATGCAGGGCCACACAAGGAGGCACCAGAGACAGTGCAGACACAGGGAAATTTGGTCCAGAGCTTGTGTAGTAGTGTTTTTTGAGAAAGAATGGGCAGAACAGGGTTAGGATTGGTTAGTCTGAATAACTTCAGTGGACTCTGGGGAATAGTGGCTAATCCTAATTCTAGTTATTGGGTACCTAGTCCCATAGTGTGAGCTCAGGGTAAATTGATTTGCATATGAAAAGTTCACTTTCAGATAAGTGCTGTAGTATTTCTAGAAATTGATTGACCCTATGAAGGACAATTTATCCAGGCTTTTAAAAGCCCCTAAAGGCCGGCGCCGTGGCTCAATAGGCTAATCCTCCGCCTTGTGGCGCCGACACACCGGGTTCTAGTCCTGGTTGCCCCTCTTCCAGGCCAGCTCTCTGCTGTGGCCCTGGAGTGCAGTGGAGGATGGCCCAAGTCCTTGGGCCCTGCACCCGCATGGGAGACAAGGAGAAGCACCTGGCTCCTGGCTTTGGATCAGCGCGATGCGCTGGCCGCAGCGCACCGGCTGCGCCGGCCATTGGAGGGTGAACCAACGGCAAAAGGAAGACCTTTCTCTCTGTCTCTCTCTCTCTCACTCTCCACTCTGCATGAAGAAAAAAAAAAGCCCCTAAATAAGAAAGAATAAGAAAGCATCCGAATAAAAAATATGCTTAATGCAGTCACCATACTGAACTTCCTGTCAAAATATTTTATCAATAGCCATTTCCTTTCTTTCTTCTCTGATAACCTATCCTATCTCTCTATTCCCCTTCTTCCTTCCGCTCTTGCCTTCTATTCCCCCTTTCTTCCCTTCTCTTTCCCCTCTCTCTCCTTCCACTCCTCTCTCTTCCTTCCTTTCTTCAATTCAACAAGTATTAATCAAATACCTACTAAGAGCCAGACACCATTCTAAGAGCTTAATTTGTCAAGTAATCTTCACAGAATCTGGGAAGCAGAATATACTAGTCTCATTTAGTAGATAAAATAATTGGGCAAAGAAAGGTTAAGCAAAATCACACAGATCGCAGGCAATAGATCTGTTGTTCAAAATGAGCTCTGTTTGATACGAAAGTCTATATATTCAGCTAATATTCTAAATACACACCCATACAGCACTACCTTCCTGAAAGTTTGGTGTACAGTATTTGCCTCTAAGTATCAACTAGCCCCTAGCCTAAGAACTGAACTGCTTTGCAGCTAGACTCAGAATATATGAAGTAGTTGAGAAACTGCAATGATACTTCATTCATTCACTGAGCAAAGATTTATTTAGCATCTTGTTTCTATACTGGGTTCCATGATTTATTAGCTATGCAACATTAAGGAAATACCTAACCTCTTTGAGTCTTGGTTTACTCATGTACTAATATAGATAGCAGGGGCTGGTGCTGTGGCACAGTATGTTAATCTTCCACCTGCGGCACCGGCATCCCTTATGGGTGCCGGTTCTAGTCCCGGCTGCTCCACTTCCAATCCAGTTCTCTGCTCTGGCCTGGGAAAGCAGCGGAAGATGGCCCAGGTCCTTGGGCCCCTGCACCCACGTGGGAGACCAGGAGGAAACACCTGGCTCCTGGCTTCGGATTGGAGCAGCTCCATCCGTTAAGGCCATTTTGGGGGTAAACCAATGGAAGGAAGACCTTTCTCTCTGTCTCTCCCTCTCACTGTCTGTAACTCTACCTCTCAAATAAATAAATAAAATCTTTAAATATATATATATATAGATAGATAGATAGCAATGTTGACCCTACTAGTGCAAGAATCTTGTTTTGTCAGTGAAAGTAGATGATACAAAGTCTTCTGTAATTTACCTACATAATGATGTGTGGATAATTCTTAGGCCTTGACCACCCATCCTATGGCTGACAAAAATGGAAGATCAGCATTTGAAAGTCTAATAGCTTTTGAGTAACAAGCTATTCCTCTGTGTTAACTAAATAAACATTTGCTACTAAGGACCATTCAGTTGGACAATTTTGTCCTAAGTGATATCTCAAAAGTAGAATGCACTACTGATTATCAATTTTTGTCAAAACCATATAGGTTCTGATCATTGGAAGGGAAATTTTATCTTATTTTCATTTTAGTGAAGCTTTATTTTTTTCCCTGTTTGCAGATCAGGGCTCTATGTGGGAAGCACGGCTTATATCTGACCTTGAGCCTTCTGGAAACATTGCTTACTCGTCAAGATCTGGGATACCAAGATGAAATAAGGTAAGCTGACTTTTGTTTCAGACTGAATGGTTGTGCTCCTTACTCCTCAATTCATTAGTGAAGACCTAACTATCAATTTGATTGTATTAAGGGATGATGATCTTGGAAGGTAATTAAGTTTCGATGAGGCTAAGCAGCTAGGACACTTAGATTAGAGCCTTAATAATAATGCTCTTCAAAAAGCTTGAGGCAGAGGCCGGCATTTTGTGGTACAATGGGTTAGGCCACCACCTATAACTCTGGCATCCCATATGGACATTAGTTCAAGTCCCTGTTGATCTATTTCTGAGCCAGCTCCCTGCTAATGTGCCTGAGAAGGCAGTGGAATATCGCCCAAGTACTTGGTTTCTTGCCACCCATGTGGAAAGCCTGGATGGGATTCCAGGCTCCTGGCTTTGGCCTGGCCAAGCCACAGCTGTTACATCCATTTGGGAAGTGAGGCAGCAGATGGACGATCTCACTCACTCACTTTATGCTCTCATTCTCTCTCTCTCCCTCTCTTTTTCGTTCCAATTCTGACTTTCAAGTAAATAAAATAGATCTTTAAATAAATGGTTTGAAGTCAAAATAAGAGCAATGCACTGTGAGGTTTATAATATAGGTAAAATTACAGTGCTTGACGATAGCCCACAAAGCTAGAGGGGTGAAAGTGTATTGTGGTAAGATTCTTATTCTATAAATGTAGTATATTTTTATTTGAATGTAATCAGTAAAGATGCTAATAAAGAAGTAAAATAGGAGCATAAAAATACTCAAGCAATTAAAAAAGACAAAAACAAGGAAAAAAGTGATTAAAACAGAAATGACAAAAAGGCAAATAAACATCAAGATGATAGATTTAAAACCATTCATATCAATGATTATATTAAATTTAAAAGATCCAACTGCAGTAATTAAAAGGCAGATCTGAAATTTCATGAAAAAGGAAGGCTCAACTAAATGTATCAACAATAACCCATTACAAATATAAGTACATTGACATGCTAAAAGCAAAAGTTTGGGAAAAGATTTACCAGACTAAAGAAAGCTGGAATGGTTTCCATTCATATGGGGCAAAGTAAATTCTGAAGTAATAAATATTGTCAGAAAGCCAATTCATCAAGAGAACATAACAGTTGTAAATGTTTGTGCCCGTATAACATAGCTTCAAGTTATAAAAAGGAAAAGCACAAACCTAAAAAGAGAAATAGATAAATTCAAGATTTCCTTTGGATAATTAAATACCCTTCTGTCAGCAATTAATAGAAAAGGTTCTCTGGAAATCAATAAGAATAAACAAAACTTGAACCACAATCAACCAACTTGATCAAAATGGCAATTATGGAACATTCCACACAACAGCAGAATATAGATTCCTTTTCAGTGTATATGGAAATTTAAAAGGTGAACTGTTTGCTGAGCCATGAAACAAGTCTCATTAAACTCAAAAGAAGTAAAATTATGCAAGGTATGTTCTCTGATCACAACAGAATTAAATTAGAAGCCAAAAACGAAGATAAATCCTGTAAATATCCAAACGAATCACACTTTAAATATCCCATGGTCAAAAAGGAAATTACAAGAAAAACTAGAAAACATTAATGAAATTCAATAACACAAAAACACAACATGTACCGTTAATGCTTGGCTTCTCTTTTTTCACACATGTAGCATGTGATCTATCATTAATCCAGTAGTAAGTCTACTCTTTTTCCAGAACACATTCAGAATCTCTCCAGTCACTTCATCACTTCTTACTACTTGGTTGTTGTTTAACTACAGCCCATCTAAGTTATCATGATCATAATCTCCTAGAGTATTACAATAGCCTCTTCTATGAATTCGGCTTCTTTCATTACCCCCACTTTATCCTTAATTCAGCAGCTGTCTAAGACCTAAAGCAGTTCATATCATTGCTCTGTTCAAAAGATCACCTTCTTTCACTCACAGGGAAAAGAAATCAAAGTCCTTATAAACAGTTGCCCAGCACTCCCCTGACTCCATCTAAAACCATACTTGCCTATGCTGTTCTGGCTACATTACTCTCCTTGTCTTTAGACACACCCAGCAAACATCCACCTTAGCAACAATCTTCTGAATGTCTCCTCTACTTGGAAATGTCCTACCCAGATAGCCTTGTATCAGCTTCCTCACCTTATTCCAGGTTTTACTCAATTGTTTCCTTATCAATGAAGTCTACACTTAAATTTTTTAAAAAAAAAGATTTATATTATTTATTTGAAGGGCTGAAAGAGAGAGAGAGAGATAAAGAGGGAGAAACGGAGAAAGAGATCTTCCTTCAGTTCTTACTCCCCAGCTCTTCCTCTGAAGCCAATAGCCAGGAGTTTCTTCCAGGTCTCCCACATGGATGCAGGGTTCCAAGTACATTGGCTCTCCTCTACTGCTTTCCCAGGTATATTAGCAGGGAGTTAAACCAAAAGTGGAGCAGCTGAGATTCGAACCTCTGCTCCTTGCTGGCATTGCAATCAGTAGCTTAACCCACTGTGCAACAACGCTGATCCCATAACTACTCTTTTAAGTTATTGTTATCCATCCTTTTCTCTCCTTAACTTACGATCTGCTTGTTTTCTTCTAAACACTAATAAACTTCTAATGAATTAGTAACTTGCTAATATACTTTGTTGCTTGTTGTTATCTATCTCTCCCTAATGGACAGTAGATCATGGTTCCATGGAATAGACAAGATCTTTGTTTATTCATTGATATATCTCAAAGTGTCTAGTGCAGTACTTACCACATAGTAGGTGCTCAATAAATGACTAACTGGATTAGGAAACAAAGAGAATCTCAAAATATTCTCAGATATACCAACACATTGAATTTGCCTCGTGCCTACCTCATGGTTATGTTGAGGGAGCCTTTTCTATCCATCTCATAAAAAAAAGTTCCCTGCACTGTAATCTCATACTACCCAATAATTTTACTTCCTGACACTTATCACTATTTGCAAGCATCTATTTGTGTGATCTGTTGGTTTAATATCTACACAGCAATCTCCATGCTGGCAAGGATCATGGCTATTTTCTTTACATTTTATTCCCAAAATCTAGCCCAGTGCATAGCACATGGAAGAGCACATCAAATATCTTATGAATTCACTTATTCATTTGTTCAACAAACATTTATTAAATGCCTACTCCAAACTGATCACTACTGTAGATATTGAGAATATTGAAATTAAAGTGCCTTCTCTCATGAAACTTACATTCGAGTGGGTAATGCAAACAGTAAGCAATTTATAATACATGTCATATCACATGGTAACAAGAGAGATACAGAAAATGAAAAGGGGGAAATGATAGAGGTAAGATCAATGAATAAATTAATTAACAAGCTTAGGAAGTTGAGTCTATCCCATGAATTTCTACCAACCAGTTTTTGACATGGGATTTTGCCTTCTCCCAAATCTTAGGAGTACATGAGTGAGGGTGAAAGGGGTGGTTAACCTAGAAGAGCAAAAGATGAGCTAGGAAGGGAATAGCAAACCTAAGAAGCTGATTTTGAGAACTGCAGGAAACCATCAATTTAAAGCATCAGACTTCACATTGTAACTCATATGTATTAAAGCCTCAGTAGATATTTGTTGATCAAGCTTTGGAGTTCAAGATCAGTCATTTGGCCTGGTGATTAAGATACCAGTTAAGACACCATTTCCCATATCAGAGTGTCTGGGTTCAGTATCTGCCTCTGACTCCTGATGCCAGCTTCCTGCTAATATCGACCCTGAGAGGCAGCAATTATGGCTCAAGTATCCAGGTTCATGCTAGACATGTGGGAGACCTGGTTAGAGCTCCAAAATCCCAGCCTCAGCCTCATTCCCAGCCCCGGCTATCACAGGCATTTAAGGGCTGCACCAAGGGATAGGAGCTCTCACTCTCTCCCTCTCCTCCTATCTGTTTCTTAAATAAATAAATAATATTTTTAAATAAGTGTGAGTTAAGCCACCCCTTGTGACACCAGCAACCTATAGCAGAGCACTAGTTCAAATCCAGCTGCTCCACTTCTAATCCAGCTTCCTGTTAATAATTTTGGGAGTGCAGAAGAAGATGGCCTGAGTACTTGGGCCCCGGCTACCCACTTGGGAGACCCAGATGGAGTTCCAGGCTCCTTTGGCCTGACCCCAGTCCCAGCTGTTACAGTCATTTGGGGAGTGAACTAGCAATGGAAAATCACTTCCTCTGTCTCTGTCATTTTGCCTTTCAAATAAATAAAATAAATCTTTAAGAAATTTGGGTAAGATTTCAGGAATCAAGAATGCAAGAACAAGAGTGAGAATGGAGAACAACAATGGAAAATAGGCTACTTATTATCGTATCAATATTCTCAAATATCCACTGATTTGTGCAGACCAGGGACGCACACAGGTTTTTCATTCACCTTGTCTTTGACCTTTGAATATTCAAGGACATCAAAACCATGAGAATCAAAGAATTGCATTTGTAAGAGATAAACCTGTTTCATCCTTAGACACTCATTGGTTAAAGCTTCTGTTGAATTAAATCCATTTGGTTAAAGGCTTTGTATGCAAACCTATATCCTTAAGAGATTAAAGATGCAATTTAGACACACATTTTAGGAGCTGAATGCACAATCATTATTTTAGTACATATTGTCCATTAATCTGCTGTTCAATTGGGAACCCATTTGGAATGTGGCTGCTTGCTAATTAGCAGGATTCTAGTGCTGAGCTGTTTCCTGATTAAATGTCCTTTAGAATCAATAAAACATCAGGAGGGATTATGGTGATGTGGGATTAGCCCCATCTAACCAAATAAAATGAGTTGTGTTCCCTTCTTAAACTGTCATGTTGCAAGAGCTGACAAGAGGAGCAATTTTGTGAGCCCTATAACAAAGTTTTTTTTGTTGTTGCTTTCTTTTAACATTGTGATTTTGGTTTTTGCTGTTTGCCTACCAATTAGCAGAGACATTAGTGAATGACTGCCCAGGGTAAGGCGATTTTGAGAAAGACTTGATTGCGATTTCAAATCTCTACTCGGAATTACTCTTATGTAAAATGAGTTCAGGTTGTGTTGGATGGAAATTATTATCCCTGTTCTTGGCCAGAAACCTCTAAGTCAGAATTTGCATTTAATGTTTCTGGGTGACTTTGTAATAAATGGTAATTAAGGAGGGCAAAGAGAGAACAGGAGGCAAACTAATACTCTAAAATTGTATTGGCAAAATTAAATGCTTCAGACCAGTTTAAAACACATGCACACATGCCAAGTTGGGTTGGGGGAGAGGGATAAATAATGAACTGCTCTGGAAGCTTCCTGAATAGAGTAGAGCAATTGACATAGCCACAAGTAAGACTTATCATACACATCTGGCCCATTATTGAGAGTGCAATTAGATAGAAAAGGACTGGCTCTGCTAATCCCAGCTACAACCAGAGGATTTTAGGAGATAAAGGAAACATGAGGTGTTTGATTCAGCAATTATGTTTTAAAGGGAATAGGAAAAGTGGTGTTAGGCAGTACGCTACTAAAGATATGGTAGAGATCTGCCCATTGGCTGCTTTATAGAAATTAAACCTTGTTCTTCACTTCCAGATGCCAATAATAATAATAATGTCATTATTATCAATTCAAACATTTTATGGTGCTTATCATATTCCAAGCAATGTTCCAAATGCTTTATAAATATTAACTCTTTTCACCCTTGCAACTAACCCATGAAGCAGGTACTATTATTTTTCAAATGAGGAAACCCATGTAGAGTCCCAGAGAGTCTAAATCAAAAAGTCAGATGCAGGCTCTCTGGATTCAGAGTCTTGGCTCTAATTCACTACACTATAACACCTCTTCTGTAAGTTCTAAAAAGCTAAGAAGTTTTTTGTCTAGGCATAGGGGCTCTGGACTAACTGTCTGAAATCCAGAGCTGGCTTCACCATTGTATTTGGTACTGAATGTGGTTTTGGATTTCAGAAGTTTATTAGCACTGGCTGTCTCCATCAGGACCCCAGAAAGATATGGGATATAGATACAAAGTGAGGAAGCTTTTAATAAAAGCATCATGGACAGGTATAATCCAAAAAAAATGCAGGGCTTGCAGACTTCTTATCAGGTCAAGTCTTCCACCAGTTCTTCAATCTTATCCCCAGAATAAGGCAGCATGAACTCTGGAATCACATATTGTAGGTGGAAATCTTGGTTCTGAAATTCACTGGCTTTGGAAATGGATAAATGATTGATTTTTCTTTTTCTTTTCTTTTTTTATTAATATAAAGAGGACAGATTTCATGTATTTCAAAGATACAGTTTTAAGAACACAGTGATATTGCCTTCCCTCCTTCCTCCTTCCTTCTTTTCTTAATTTTTACAACATACTTTTTATTTTTTGACAGGCAGAGTTAGACAGTGAGAGAGACAGAGACAGAGAGAAAGGTCTTCCTTCCATTGGTTCACCCCCCCAAATGGCCACTATGGCCAGCGCGCTGAGCCAATCCGAAGCCAGGAGCCAGGTGCCTCCTCCTGGTCTCCTATGTGGGTACAGGGCCCAAACACTTGGGCCATCCTCCACTGCCTTCCCAGGCCACAGCAGAGAGCTGATTGGAAGAGGAGCAACCGGGACAGAATCCTGCACCCCAACCAGTACTAGAACCAGGAGTGCCGGCGCCTCAGGTGGAGGATTAGCCTACTGAGCCACAGCGCCGGCCACAATAACATACTTTTGATTTACTTTATAATCACAAGCTTAATGCTCCCCTAAATATAGTGCTCAACAAGTAAAGTTAGAAAGGCCACTGTTCCAAAGATTATAATATTATAAACAACAATCATATCATAAGATGTCAATTTCACACTTATGCATTCAGGGATTTTTTTGTACTCTATATATTAGCTACCATAAATCAGAGAAAATATATTTGTCTTTTTGAGACTGGATTATTTCACTAAGCATAACGGTCTTCAGTTGCATCCATTATGTTGCAAAAGACAGGATTTCATTCTTTTTTATGGCTGAGTAGTATTCCATCATGTATATATACCACCCTTTCTTTGTCCTATCATCAGTTTATGGGAATGTGCGTTGATTCTCTATCTTATCTATTGTGAATTGAGCTACTATAAACATGGGTTACAGATAAATCTTTCTCTTTTTTTTTTTTTGTTTTTGACAGGCAGAGTGGACAGTGAGAGAGAGAGACAGAGACAGAGAGAAAGGTCTTCCTTTGCCGTTGGTTCACCCTCCAGTGGCCGCTGCAGCTGGCGTGCTGCAGCCGGCACACAGCGCTGATCCGATGGCAGGAGCCAGGTACTTATCCTGGTCTCCCATGGGGTGCAGGGCCCAAGGACTTGGGCCATCCTCCACTGCACTCCCTGGCCACAGCAGAGAGCTGGCCTGGAAGAGGGGCAACCGGGACAGAATCCGGCGCCCCGACCGGGACTAGAACCCGGTGTGCCGGCACCACAAGGTGGAGGATTAGCCTAGTGAGCCGCGGCACCGGCCAAATAAGTCTTTCATATGCTGATTTTTCTTCCTTTGAGTATATTCTCAGGAGTGAAATGGTTGGGTCAGATGGTAGATCTAGTTTCAGATTTCTGAAGAATCCCCATACTGTCCTTCATAATGGTTGTACTAATTTACATTCCCACCAACAGTTTATTAGGTACCTTTTTCTCCACAGACTTACCAACCTTTGTTTTTTGTTTTTTGTTTTTAATTTTTGGATGAAAGCCATTGTAATTGTGGTTTTTATTTGCATTTCTCCAATGGCTGGTGATCCAGAGCATTTTTTAATATTTCTGTTGGCCATTTGCATTTCATCCTTTGAAAAGTGACTGTTCATGTCCTTTGCCCTTTTCTTAACTGAATTTTTGGTTTGTTGTTGATGAATTTCTTGAGCTCCTACTATATTTTGGATATTAATCCCTTATAAGATGCATAGCTTGCAAATATTTTCTTCCACACATTCTGTCAGTTGCCTCTTTACTTGGTTGGGTGTTTCATTTCTGTGCAGAAGCTTCTTAATATGATGTAATCCCATTTTTTCAATTTAAATTTTATTGCCCATGCTTCTAATATCTTATCCAAGAAATCTTTGCCTAAGCCAATGTCTTTCAGTGTTTTCATATGTTTTCCTCTAGTAATTTGATGGTTTAAGGTTTTAGATTTAGATCTTGACCCATTCTGAGTTGATTTTTGTATAGATATATCTGCATACAGAGATCCAATTTTTCCAACACTATTTGGTGAGGAGACCATCCTTTCTTCAGGGAGTGATTTCAGCCCATTTGTCAAAAAACTAGTCATTCATCAAATGGATAAAAGAATCCTTCTTTATGGATTTGAGAGTTTATCCCCTCTTTATCAAGGAAAGGCTGGACTTCTCACAGTTAAATAGAAGGTGAAAAGGATACAATTTGAACTATGAACAAGAAGGTGAAAATACAGGAAGATAGTGCAGTTTAATGAGTATCACAGCAGCACGGTTAAGTAACATGAATAAAATAATTCCTTGCTTGAGGAGCCAGTTTTGTGATCATTTAAGACACTACTTGTACCTCTTGCATCTCATATTGGAACTCTGTTTCAAGACTTTGCTTCTCTACTTCTGACCCAACTCCCTGCTAATGTGCCTGGGAAAGCATCTAATAATGGTTCAAGTATTTGGTCTCTGCCATCCACATGGGAAACCCAGATGTTGTTTCTGCGTCTTGGCTTTAGCCTGGCCCAGCCCCAGCCATAGTGGCCTTTTGATGTGGACCAGTAGATGAAAGATCCCTCTCTCTCTCATCTTGTCTTTCAGATAGATAAATAAATATTTAAAAAAAAATTCTTGGATTGAGAAGGTGAAATCAATGCATATGCCCCTGACAATTTTCTTCTTACAGTGTCCACACATGGAGGAAGTATTGTGGGATCTCTCTTGGGCCTCTTTTATAAAACACTAAGCTCATTCGTGAAAGTTCTGGCCCATGACCTAATCACTTGTTAAAGGCCCCATATCTTACTATCTTGGGAATGAGGTTTTCAGTATATGAATTTCAGGGACACATTACCCTAGAGAAAACTATGCAAGTATTTATATATAAATAGAGGGTGGATGCTGGGCAAGGAAATATAAATAATTTTCACTATGAAAGCTTGTTACAGTATTTTAAACTTTAAATGACTCCCTGAAAGTCACTCACAGACATACTGCTCAGTACATTTTCTGCTTGCATGTAATTAAATATTTTCTACTTGCACTCAGCATGCTTATCTACTTCCTTCTATGTTCCTTTATGTGTTGCAATACTTTCCCATACTCGTGAAGGCCAAACAGAACATTTGTGAAACCCCACTGACACAAACATTCTAGAAATGAGTTCAATTCTACCAGTGAGATGTATTTGTATGAGATTTGAAGAGCAGAAGTGGGGATGGTGTGGGAGAATGGTGAATTCGTTCTCTCAGTGGCCAGAATGGCCCTGGTATTACATGATCACCAATATCATGACTAGGAACCAGTGAGACATCAGTCAGACTATCCTGAAGTTCCCTGGTTTCTGAACGATATCTTCTGAGACCTGACCTTGAACCTCACAACAGACCCTGACCTCCAACCAACTAGGCTTGCAGTAATCTGGGCACCTAATTCCCTTTATCAAAGATCTTCCTACTAAAGGCACCTTAAATGGCTCTGTTTCCTCCATTTATCCGTGAATGACACAGTTATCACAAAGCTCCGTTGATATCAGTACCCACATAAGCTACAAGCTTCGCTGTACCTTCTTCCAGGACAGTGATGTGGCTCACCGATATTATTTCCTTTATTTGCGCAGATGGCAGAAATTTGTGGAGCTGCTAAGCAGAGCCTCTTCTGATTTACTGTCCGATTTGCCTACAGGTAAGTTCCATTATTTTGTTGTTCCTTTGAGATCTTCCATTTCCCAGAGCTATTGTTAACTATGGTGCTTAGCTTGAGTGGTTGTTAGGTTTCATCTCATTTCTCCCTAAAATGTAAATGGAGCACCAGTAAAGGAAAAATGAGAGTAATATTTATCTTAAAAACTATTCTTTGAGCCCAGCTGATAATAAAAGGTGTAATTCTCCATTTAATTGCATCATGAGGCATTCTCAATGGCAGCCTTTGAAAATGAACACAGCATACTTAACAGAAGTTGGTGTTATTCAATAGATTTCAGTTGCACAGTCCCTTAAATCTAAGAGTCCTGAAGCTTAATGTTTATTCTACTGATACCTCAACCAAAAACCTCCAAGTTGTACATAAATGATGAATGCATCACTTTTGTAATTACTTTTTGGAAGATAGAAATCACAAAAGTATCCTTCAGGTACCATTCAGTTAAAATACAGTATGACAAATTGATAAAGCTATGCAATTGTAAAATAATGTGGCTGGATTTCTAAGACATATTATTAAGCAAAGTTATAAGGATGAACTGGGCAAAATATTTGGCAATTAGCAAGTTTTAAATATAAGAGTTGAAAAATATGCATGGATATTGATCTGCTTTTGTAGTTTCTCTATGTACTATATCCATCAATCATTTACTGGTATCCTTCGGATAAAAGTGCTAGGTATACATACACACACAGAGGGTGGGGGATGGAGCTAAACATTTCACCCAGAGGGAATTTACTATGGGGCATTAGTTACATAAGTATCAGAAGCCTGAAAGAGCAGAAAAATAGATTAGTCTACTAGTTTCCCTGTCACAGGACTGACATAACAAATTAACACTCTCCTGGTGGCTTAAAACAATAGAAATCTCTTTTCTCACAGTTCCAGAGATGCCAAGTGTGAAATCAAGGTATCAACAGGGTCTGACAGCTCCAGGAAGGAACCCGTCCCTGTCTATTCCAGCTTCTAATGACCCCAGGGCACCCTGCCTCTATCTTCACATGACCTTCTTCCTTGTATCCCTGTATCCAAAGACCGCTCTCCTTTCTCTTATAAAGACACCAGTCATTGGATTTAGGACCCACTCAAATCTCAAATGACCTTGCCTTGACTAGATTATAACTGAAAAGACTGTTTCCTAGGTACCAGCGACGAGTGCTGGAGCATATCTTTTCAGGGGGCAATGCTGAGACTCCTGAAGAGATGTTGTGGAGTGTTCATCTGACTTCTGAACGTTCACACAGGGCCGGTGCTGAGGATGCTGAAAGCCATTCCAGCAGTACCTCTTCTCTGATGCTGGACAGATTCCTGTTCTATCCTCACACGGCCTTTCTTCTCAGTGTGAGCATTGCTGGTGTTTCTCTGTTCAAATTCCCTTTTCTTATGAGGACATCTGTCAGATTGCATTAGTGCCCACCCTAACAGCCTCACTTTAATTAGTCAGCTCTTTAAAGGCCTTATCTATTGTCAGAGTCACATTCTGATGTCCTGGTAGTTATGGCTTCAACATATAAATTAGAGGAAATACAATTGAGTCCATGGCATATGGCATAACAATAAGATATAGGATGAATCTTGTTTTTGCAAGTAATCACCTTACATAATGTAGCACTTATTTTATTTATCCATTTTCTCAGACTTCTCATCTCTAAAAGGGTCAATCCTTTTAATCCTGTGAACTTGTTTTTTAATATATATAAGATTTTAGCAAAAATATATAATACCTATGACTTTCACTGATGACAAGATAGACTAGCTTGCAGAAGACTAAACCACCTGGCAATAACACCTAGAAGGCTAGATAAAGGACAAAAAAACATTTATTTGAAGGGAATTCAAGTTGAATTGACAGAAATATGGAGAAGACAAAATCTTGGTGGAAGAAAACAACATCTTATTAAAAAATCTCTAAATTATCCATGCAAAATGTTTAGCTTAGATTAAAAAATTCCTATAGAATGATGCAAAACAGACCATGCATTTTACCATGCATTTTGAAATAACCATTATTAATATGTTCAAGAAAATGAATGGTAAGATGAAAAACTTTCAGCAAATAATTTGAGCCTATATAATAGGCTTTGTGTGAAAAAAACACAAAAACTGAATTTTAAAAACTCAATATATGAATCTAACAGAACATTAGACATAGCTGAAGAGACAATAAGTGAACTGGAATATGGCTCGAGAGAAAATATTCAGATTGAAATATAGATGAGAAATAAGGATGAAATATACAAAAAGTATATAAGAGGAAGTGGTGACAACATCCCACATCCATGTAATTAAAGTCCCAGAAGGATAGGAGAAAGAGAATAGAGACGAAGTAATATTTGAAGGAGTTTTTACTGAGGTATTTCCAAAAATATTGAAAGAATTCAAATCAAGAAAGAGCCAAGAGATGGTATGTACTCTCATTAAAACAAATACAAAACAGCATAGGCTCTGCCAAATTACTGCTATAATTTATTTAAAAAAATTTATTTTATTTATTTGAAACACAGAGTTAGAGAAAGAGATAGAGACAGAAAGAGAGAGGTCTTCCATCTGCCGGTTCACTCTCCAGATGGCTGCAACTGCCGGAGCTGCGCCAATCTAAAGCCAGGAGCCAGGAGCTTCTTCCAGGTCTCCTACATGGGTGCAGGAGCCCAAGGTCTTGGGCCATCTTCTGCTTTCCCAGGCCACAGCAGAGAGCTGGATGGGAAGAGGAGCAACCGGGACTAGAACCGGTGCCCATATGGGATGCTGGTGCTTCAGGCCAAGGCATTAACGCACTGCGCCACAGCGCTGGCCCCCAACTGCTAGAGTTTAAAGTCTAAAGTAGTATTTCACAAAAGTAAAGTATGAGGCCGGCACCATGGCTCACTAGGCTAATCCTCCGCTTTGCGGCGCTGGCACACCAGGTTCTAGTCCCGGTCAGGGCGCCAGATTCTGTCCCGGTTGCCCCTCTTCCAGGCCAGCTCTCTGCTATGGCCAGGGAGTGCAGTGGAGGATGGCCCAAGTCCTTGGGCCCTGCACCCCATGGGAGACCAGGAGAAGCACCTGGCTCCTGGCTTCAGATCAGCGCGATGCACCGGCCGCGGCGGCCATTGGAGGGTGAACCAACGGCAAAGGAAGACCTTTCTCTCTGTCTCTCTCTCTCACTGTCCACTCTGCCTGTCAAAAAAAAAAAAAAAAGTAAAGTGTGGCCCTCAATTTTAATCTCTACAGTGTGGTACCTATGACTGAGAGACAGGAAGAAAGAGATGCAGAAAGCAAAGAGCTGAGCTGAAGCATGGCTGCCAATGGGAGAAAATTTAAAGGGAATGAAGGGTAGCTTCGGAGGCTCATTTATTCTCTTCTCCAAACACTTCCTGATGACCTGTCACTGGAGAGTTGGCCTCTTTTATTAAGGGAAATACTATCCACAGTAATCACTAGTTAGAACCATTTAGATTGAAGGGACAGGAAAAAAACAACTCAGCTCATACAATAAAGGGATTTTGATTTATTTAGGTAAAAAAATATGGCAGCTGCAAGGATTTCTGGGCATGGTTTCATCTAGCCATTCATATGTCCGACCAAAGATCTGCTTTCTTTCTGGCCATCTGTTTTTCTTTACCTGGTATTGCTATACTCTCCCCACTCTCCATGGTGGTCCCCTGTATTAGTCTCTTCTGTATTAATATGACAAATATGTGATTCTGGGTAAGAGATAATGAAAAGAGGTTATTTGACTCATGCTTCTCATGGCTGCAAAGTCCAAACAATATGAAGTAGGCTTTTGTCAGGACTCCCTGGTAGCAGAGAAGCAGAAAGGGAGCAAGCCGTATGCAAAAGAGAACCAAGGTATTAGGTGACCTCAGTTTACAACAACTCCACTCTAGAGAGAACTAATTCAATCCCTGGAGACATGATCCACTTCCTTGAGAGAGCATCAATCCATGATGATGGAACCCCCATGACCTAATTACCTTCATGAGACTCCACCTCTTAAAGGTTCCACCACCTCAACATTGTCATCCTGGAGACCACCCTTCCAGTACATGAACCTTTGGGAGACAAACTATATCCAAACTTCCTTCAATGACTCCAGACATTCCTTCTGCAATAGTAAATTAGCTGTGGTAGTTATGGTCCTAAGGTTTTCACAGCTTCTTTAAGAGTAGGTTCTGGCCAGCGCCACAGCTCACTAGGCTAATCCTCCGACTCACGGCGCCGGCACACCAGGTTCTAGTCCCGGTCGGGGCGCCAGATTCTGTCCCGGTTGCCCCTCTTCCAGGCCAGCTCTCTGCTGTGGCCAGGGAGTGCAGTGGAGGATGGCCCAAGTGCTTGGGCCTTACACCCCATGGGAGACCAGGAAAAGCACCTGGCTCCTGGCTCCTGCCATCGGATCAGCGTGGTGCGCTGGCCACAGTGCGCTGGCCGCGGCAGCCATTGGAGGGTGAACCAACGGTAAAAGGAAGACCTTTCTCTCTGTCTCTCTCTCTCACTGTCCACTCTGTCTGTCAAAAATTAAAAAATAAATAAATAAAAAAGAGTAGGATCTGCCAAGAAAGAGTGAATTGTGGCCGGCTCCGCGGCTCAATAGGTTAATCCTCCGACTTGCAGCGCTGGCACACCGGGTTCTAGTCCCGGTCAGGGCACTGGATTCTGCACTGGTTGCCCCTCTTCCAGGCCAGCTCTCTGCTATGACCCAGGAGCGCAGTAGAAGATGGCCCAAGTCCTTGGGCCCTGCACCCACATGGGAGACCAGGAGAAGCACCTGGCTCCTGGCTTCAGATCAGCGCGATGCGCTGGCCGCAGCACACTGACCGTGGCAGCCATTGGAAGGTGAACCAACGGCAAAAAGGAAGACTTTTCTCTCTGTCTGTCTCACTCTCTCTCACTGTCCACTCTGCCTGTCAAAAAAAAAAAAAAAAAGAGAGAGAGAGAGAGAGAGAGAGTGAATTGTACTACCTGTATCTGTAGCAAGCATAACAAAGGCTCAGATTAAGTTTTAC